GTGCATGCATTTATATGCATTCAAAACACCAAGAAAATATTTATTTTAAAAAGTTTTCTATGTAATAAAATTGTCATGGTTGATAGAATTTGGATTGTGAGATTATGAACCTAAATATAAAATAGAAATAAAAATATAATTAAATACTAAAATTATAGTTTTTTAATCCTTTATTAAATACTAATACTTATAATAAATTACAAATTATATAAATTAATATAAAGAGAAAACATAACCAAAAATTAAAAATTAATATAAGAAAAAGTAAAAAAATAAAATACTAAAAATTATGTTAAAAAAATTAATTCAAAAAGTTATCATATTATATAGTATTATTATTTACATTATATAATACTCGTCCATATTCAAATTTTACATGAACTCTAAATATTCAACTTTATATAAAAAAAACTATTTTCCGCAAATATTTAAATTTATATAAACAAGACTATTTTAATGTATGTGATACAATCTTATGAATCACAACAATAATAATGTTCTATCTTTTTCCCCAATGTTTTATTCATTATAGGACACTATTTATAACCAATCATATACCATTGCTTTTATCATGCTCTAATAAAAAATATTTAATTTTTTAAAAATTACTACGTCAGTTTTTTTTATAAATTCATAAAAAATATTCAAGCTAAAATAATTAAGAGTAAGAAAAAGGTGGCTCTTGAGAGTTTTCCCACTAGTAGTATTAATATAAGGCAACTAAATTCTTAATGAGTAAAGAAACTATAAAATATTTTTTGATTTAATTCCTCGAGTCTCTAACTGGTATATTTTGTAGATTACGGTAAGGTTATCAATAGATCATTAGATTAATTGTTCAATTTAAAATAATTATTTTACCACTAATGAGACACCAGTAGAAATATCCCTCTCTCCTCCATTAGTTAATTTTGCAGTGTATTATTATATAAATCTCTTTATCCATTCAACACTCAATATTTTCTTTGATTTTACATAACAATTTTGTTAATATTAGATCTCAATACAAATCAAGAGAGAATTATAGCTTATCTATCACACTTTTACACAATCTATTACGATTTTGATTATGATTACAAGTATGACCTTGCCTATCCATATTATCAATTTTTAGAACCAGAAAAGGAAATATATATGGGTGATATAGGTTCACAAACACAAACACTCAATTTTTATTTTTATCCTGATGAATTTGACAAAATGTGAAGACAAGCGGCATGATTATGAATCAATTTTTTATAGTTACTATATGCTATGAATAGTAAAATAAAATCAAATGTAAATCTTTTTTTTTAAATTTTAATATATTTGAATAAATGCGAAATATTAAAATACTCCTCTGGACTAGGCTTGAAAATGCAATTTTAAAGTCTTGAATAAATAATCTTGAAAATCACTATGATAATAGGAATACCAAAAACAATTATATAACATCTTGAAGTTATTTTTAGATTTGGATTAATTTTATCCCAATAGGGTTCTAGGTTCTTCTTTATACAAGATGAGGAGATCGCAAGCTTAATACTAGTAAAGCCGTATTCTAATCGCTAATTCCCTGATTTAAATACAGTATACTATTTTAAGGACCTCATGGCAATAAAATTTTTACCTAATTCCCTATTGGGCTGAGGCAAGGTGTCACTATTTCGGGAATAATAATTTTATAAAAATATTCAGTAAATTCTACAACAAATTAACAATTGTTTTGGCCTGACAATCTCAGCTTTTTTTAAAAGTTGGCATTTAATAGTTTGTATTGCAACTAAAATATATAAAAATTTTAGATTCGGTACTTGTTGAGCTGTCTCAATATGGATGCCCAAAGTGTAGAATTTATTTAAAACTTAATTTTTAAATGCAAATATCTATAGATGTTGTTGGGCTCTCTTTAATATTATATAAAAAATATAACACGTATTAAAGTTATGATAAAGTAAAGGGACATAAATAATTCAATTTCTTTCTTTCAAATAATTTCTAAATTACTAAAGTTTTCTTCTGTTGCGGTAAATAATTAACTTTAAAAAACAACTTTAAAATACACATTAGGGTGTGACTTTATTATTTATGGTTCTTAAGAAGTTGGTTTCTAAACACTAAATAATGGTGAGCTGAGCCATGTCTACTTGGTTTTCATAGTAGTAAACTATGACACATCCTGTTAACAAGCGTTTTAATTGTGGCTAATATGAACATGATAAATTTATGAGTTATAAGAGCCAAAAAATAAATACTTTAATGAAATATAAAATAAATGTGCTCCATCAGAAATTGCGTTTTACTTTTTTAATAAATTATTTTATGATTATTTACTAATTTATCTATCCCATACCATCAGCATAAATTCATATCCTAGGTTCCTTCCTATAAAATTCTAAAACTATTTTTTTAAAAAATTAAAGAATGAGGTAAAATATTTAATAAGATCTAAATAATTATGAGCAAAATCGCCAGGTTTATTTTGGCTAAAATATTACAGCCATTTTTAAATATCGGGGGCCGTTTAACAACACTTGACTAGGTTTCAGCTTTCTATCAATCATATTTTTAAATTCAATATATAATTAAGATTCCTTTACAAATAAAAGTATTGAATCAGGTGTGTTTACTGTTTGTATGGTGATTTTTATAGGGACAGAAAACTAAACAATATTTCAAGTAAAAACAAATATCTTAAAACAATCTTTTAGGTAGGTAATAAGTCATTTTAGAATTATATTTAAATTAAAAAATGGAATGATTTCCTAAACATTTTATTTGAATTAATTTTTGAAATTATACTAAAAAATAACCGATGAAAATTTAAAAATTGTTATCATATTAAGTTAAACGAATTATAGAATTACTCAAATAATATTTTTGCTCAAAATACTTTTAATTGAAAATCGATGATCTAATACCCTGAGCAATTCTTTATTAATTTTACCCAACTCTCTTTTAGTAAAAAATTAATTATCATTTCCAATATTTACCATATATTTATTTCTCTTCTTTGTATATATTTATTTATCGATTGATCACTCTAAAATGATTTAAAAACAAAAGATTTATATAAACTTGTTTTAATTGATACCCTTTTTGTTTTAGCAATATATTTGTCAATTCTAAGAATAATTCAATAAAATTATTTAGGGGAAAGAATAAATTATCAATGTTTTTCTACATATTTCATTAATTTCTATCAGCAGGGTCCATAGTTATTTAAACTAAAATTTGGACAAGCAAAATTCTAACTTTCAAAAATTTAAAAATTTTTAAACGATAATAAAAAAAATATTTCCAATAAAGATAATTTTAGTTTTATTAAAATTTCAAAACATACTGAACCAATAGGTTTTTGAAGAGTTTTCCTAATAGAAACTAGTCGATAGCAGCCTTGAATCTCATTGCAAAAATTGATGCTACCCTTTTCTTGATAATGAGTTAATTAGGACCTGTCTGACTCTCACTCATAAAAATATATATAAAAGATATTTCACAAATAAAATTAATCGTTAATATTATAAACGTAAATAAATATTATTCTATTGTAATACATATTCATCTTTAAAATTTTCTTAAATTAATATACCTCTTAAACAATCCGAGGTTTAATGTGAGAGAATCTAAATTGTTGATAACAATATACTATTCACGCCTAGTAAAGTCTGTAACTATAAAATCTAAGAGTAAAGTAAATAATAGGCTAGCTTAATCAAGGGGGGGAGGGGGGGGTTATTAATGAAAACAGATAAAAATTTGATCCCCTCTCTCATCTCAAAAAATGAATAAAATAAATAATTTAAAAAAATATTTATTTGAAATAATAATAAGAAGTAACATTTTTAAAAAAAAATTGCATTACAATTTAATTCAATTAAAATATTTCACAGAATAAAAAGTACTTCTAAATTTTTATATAATTGTATAATCGACAAAAAATGTTTCCCGACCGATTCTTATAATTTTGCCTATGCCATTTTATTCGTATTGTTAAATGGCCCGTTTTGAGCCATTTTTAAAAATGGCTAACTCTATTTTTTATCCAGAAAAATATTACACAAGCCTGATTTCTCATAGATGGCACAAAGGTTTAGACATCGAGGTAGGAAATATTTTTCTCGCTAAAATATTGAGTTAGCCGTTAAATCAAATCGAGCCAACACTACATTTTATTTAAGAAATAATTAATCTTTTTATACCACTGCTGGCTGATATAAAAAAAACTGATATCTATTTTTTTTTTCAATATAGATGATGAAAATTTAGACGAAATATCAACTCAATTTATGATTTATATAAGTTGAACTTATCGTGATAAATAATCCTCAGAAAAATGACTGTGGAAGGTTTGAAAATAACAATTGAAGTAAGAGAATTTTTTGTTGAATACAAAGTTATGGTGGTGAAAGCTTTTGAAGGTTACATTTCTTTTTAAATAATTTTTAGGATAATGTTTATATTGTTATATTATATATAATTCTGGAGAAAAGAAGGGTGGGGGGGGGCGTGGAGATAAAATTTTTATTAGCTTTAAAAATATTTACGAGAAAAGGCAAATTTCATGCCTGACTCCCACTTTCGAATGCCAATACCTAACACATATTCTATGCTTATTAACGATCCATTATAAATATGTCACTATTTTATGATTTATAAGGTAAACTAGATGTTTTAAAGAGCCGCCGAATTTATTTTTATCTTAGGCCTAAAAATGTCTTGACAGAGCCCGTCAATTAAACACCTAATTGATTTGAAGGAGAGTTTTAAAGTCCCCGATTTGAATAACGATATTTAGTTTTTCTATATTTTATTATCACTTTATAACGATATTTTTTATACATTATAAATATCATTAAGTTAATTAATTATTATAAAGATTTCTTTAGTCGATTTTTTATAAGGTCAAGTTTCACATATGGTAATTCTGACTGTTTTGACAAATGCTCGTTACATCATTATTTCTATTATAGAATGTGGTTAAGATACGGTGCTTATATTTTTTAAATTTTTCCGCGAAAATGATATCATTCGATCCCATAAATATTGAATTTATTGCAGAAAATGAATTCATATATATAAATCCTAATTTCCAATCCCCACCTTTTAAACTTATTTCAGTAATATGTTCATAATTCATTTAGATTTACTAAAAATAAACATGGAAACTTTTTATCAATTGAAAAATAAATTAAGGTTTTTTCTAGTAAAATTTAATCAGAATGTTTTGGGTTAAAAAATATATATGATTTCTAATAAAATCCTTTATATATTTATTACTTTTAATCTATATAATAATTTATTTTATTTCAAAAAGTGTGATATTGGTGAAATGACTCCTGGTATACCTACAAGTCTTCCATTATGGGTGGCAATTCATCTGAAACAAAGGCGTAAATGTTCAATTATACCTCCTAAATGGATGGATATTGGTAAATCATTAAATTATAGATACTATAAACATTGATTAATAATACATTTTACCTGTATATTAATAACTATATGTTATAATCTTAATATTTTATAACATAAAAATTATACAAAAAATGATTGTACATTATTTACTTAGTAAAATAAAAAAATCATTTCTTTTTTAAGATTTCTTTAAAAATCCTAAGTTTGATTTACAATGATGTTTAATATTTTAAAATACAAATTAGGATACATCATATTTAGTAAAAATTAATATATCAATTTAATTTTTACTAATTGTGATGCATTTACATAATTTACCTTTATAATAGTATGTGTTTGTGCTAATATGTTATTATATTATGTATAATTAGTTATATTTCTAATATTTGTAATATTCATTTAAATTATTTTTTCAAAATTAAAGATACCTTGGAAGAATTAAAGATGCTAGAGAAAGAAAATCAGTATTTTACAGCTATGCCTAGCCCACATTACATGGAAATAGCCAATTTACTAATGCAAGAGTATTTTTTTGATATCAATATTAAAATTTTGACTTAAATTTTTTGATGTTTATTTATTACATTGTTCATACACAAAGTTTAGGAAATAAATGACATAATTTTCTTTTAAAACTTTAATAAATTTATATAAAAAAATTATCTTAAAGATTGAGTTTGAAAAATTATAGAAGAAATAATATTTTAGTTACAAATTTTTTCTTTGGCATATTTATCATAATAAGGGGCTCTCACACATAATAACTACTTGGGTCAATATACAATTTTTGAAATTATTGTTTTCTAGATACACATCAATTAAGAGACAGCATGTAAAATAACTATTATATTAAAATCATTATAAAGAATACAATATTGCCTAAATTTAGATAATACTCTATCAAATAAATATATAAAAAAATATTTACATGATATTTATTTTTTTAGTAAAATAAATATATATTATATTATTTAGACTATGAAAAATTTATAATATTTTAATGTCTTTTATATATAAATAATCAACTCTTTTTGTTCTAATTAAAGATTTTTTTTATTTAAAAAAACTAATATTTATGCTAAGAGCTAGTGAAGATATTGTGGATTGTTGCAAAGTAAAATTGTTGTTGAAAGATCTGTGGGACCTTAGGATATCTAAGCTTAAATCCAGTATACAAACCCTAACCCAAAATGCCTCTAACATTAATCATGTTCAAGTATATTACCATATAAAATTGTTGAATGAGAAGTATTATGAGAACAAGAATTTATAAATTTTCAAAAATTTTTATTCAGTTTAAAAAAAATTGAATCTTCAACAAAGATATTCCAATATCAAATATCAGCCAACGATATTGTTTGATCACCTTTATTTTTACTAATATCAAATTATTTAAACCTCTAAAACAGAGTTTGACTTTTTTTTATTAATTTGTGATTTCATCTTGAAATATTTTTTATGCATAAAAATATCAAAATATTATTCTTTTTTTCATAGGTGATTTATTTTATTTACAACTTTAAATATGCATATATTAAAAAATATATAAGGTGAATTCCATGACAAATCAACATGTTGACCCCCATTAGATTTTTTTAATATTTTTGTTGCATATATTATAACTAAGAAAAAAATGAAATTTTAGCCTCCAACTCCAAACATGGACTGAGATACAGGCCTCCAAAGGTTAAAAAAAATGGGGCATTTTGGTCAAAATGCTCTCCCTTTGATTTCAAATATCTTTAAATATAATTGAGATAAAAGCGTTATTTAATTTCTAGCCTAATGGTAGACTTTTAAAAGTTATATAGTGTTAAATACTGTTTAAAAAATTTAAATATCAAAAATTGTCATAAAATTAAATCAACAGTTTTTTATGGATTTAGAACTATATAATAAATTTGCAAAATTTTAAGTTGGTTCAAGCTCAGGCTTAGAAGATATGGTATTTTAATTATTCGTCAATTGCAAAAATTCATATTAAATATTTTAGAATTAATTGTAAATATATTTAAAAAATATTTTAAAAATTTTATGTATTTAAATTAGAGACCTCCAGTGGTACCATTTGCATAGCCCGGCCTGGTGATAAATTTTGACTTATATTACATTTATTGCTTAATATAAAATATTTATTTAGAATATTTGCAATAGACTAATGATTAAAATGCCATATTTCCTAAACTTGAGCTCGGTCCAACTTGAAAATTTACTTATCCATTACCGGTTTTTTACATTTAAAATTTTAATTTTTTAAAATTGTCAACATTGTAAAAAGACAGTATTTTACCCAAAATGCCCCATTATCCGACATTTTGAGGCCTATATCTCAGTCACTGTTTGGAGTTGGAGGCTAAAAAAAGTTTTCCTTAGTTATAATATGTTTGTAATAATTTTAGAAAAATCTGAAATCGTGTTTTTTTGTTGATTTGTCATGGAATTCACTTTATATTAAGACTTATATAATACGTAAAAATAATTATATATGAAAAACGTTTAAAAAACTTAAAAAAGGAACATGTCACCCTAAAGTGGAGGGAATGCTTTTGAAATTGGATCAGTGGATTTCTTGAAATCTACCGACTAAGTTTGTATCCCTCATTGTAGCCATCTGTAATGAGTCTTTTTTTGGCGATGACTGATAAAACGGATAGCCTCCCTTCCAAACATCCCTAGGGTGTTAGTGACTATATAATACGTAAAAATAATTATATATTAAAAACGTTTAAAAAACTTAAAAAAGGAACATGTCACCCTAAAGTGGAGGGAATGCTTTTGAAATTGGATCAGTGGATTTCTTGAAATCTACCGACTAAGTTTGTATCCCTCATTGTAGCCATCTGTAATGAGTCTTTTTTTGGCGATGACTGATAAAACGGATAGCCTCCCTTCCAAACATCCCTAGGGTGTTAGTGACTATTGGTATAAAAACTGGAGACTGGCATATTTTTTTTTGAAATAATTTCTACCTATTTTTATGGCAGAAAAGTTAGACTTCACTGCAAAGTTACCCACATGTAGTCCCAGATTATTGTGGAAAACCATTTGTCTAGGGAGGATTATGACATCCGGGCGTAGGGCGTTATCATTTTAAATACCCACTGATTAATGATGAGATGGAATATTAATTTTAATCGCAGCTAGGAGACTGTTGTTAATAAGACGGACGTTGACGTCCTCGGGAGAACTTGTAGTGCATGAGATGATAGATATAGATGTAAATTTCATGCTATTCAGGGAAATTTCCTAGGAAATTTGAGAAATAAAGATAGTTTTCTTTTAAAAAATATCAAATTATTGAAAACATATGAACTATTAAAATATTATTTAAACAAATATATATAATTGTGATTATTTTGTTCCTTATCTTCGTTTGAAGATGAAAACGATTTCAGATAAGAGCTTAACATCTAGAACCGAAAAATTTATCATTTATAGGAGATCCTTTCCCCGTAGACTGGAGATTTATTCTTATAAAACCAGTTTCCTAACCTTTTCAATTTTTTTTATCAATATAAAGTAATGTTAATTCCTGTAAAATATTTTTATTTTTTTTGTGAGTGTTTCCTTAAATGTTGTCAATAATGTTGCTGGTTTTGTTATTTTTGGCTTTTCCCATTAACATTTGAATTAGCTAATCATTTATTTGTCATATTTTTAAAACGCCAATCGCCATGAGCTGCACACACTATGCGTTCGGTATTTGTTTTTTTTACAAGTGTCCGTTATTATCTTTTTATTACCTGTATCATCAATGGTTTTAATTTTTGTGTTTCCTATTTCTTGCTTTAAGAAATTTATTAGATATATATTCCCCCGTAATGCATATTGGTCCCGTTATCGGGTTTGGGGTTGTTATAATGAAATTTATAATACATTCCCTTCCTTATATTTGTTCATTTTTCTCTAATGAGGATCAAATTTTTAATTATATCTCATCCTGAGATTACTATATTTTTAATCCTTTTATATTCAACTCTTTAATAAATTTTTACTGAGTAAATATCTTGAAGGAAGAATACAAACGCAAGTTTTAAAGATTGGAATAATTTCTTCCAGTAAACACCTTGAGTTATGGAAAATAGGAAATTTGACATAAAGACAGCTTTGCGAATTCAATATCTATTTTGATTTGCTTTTCAGATGATGCAATCTATAAAATGTTTTATTATTGTAATTCTCTTATGTTATATATAAACTTTATATTTTCCTAGGCTAGATAATTAATTAAGACGAGTTTTTTAATGTCCAAAATTGAAAACGAGATAGAATAATAGTGAGTTTGGACGAGTATTATTATAACAAAAATTAAGAAATTTAGGTTCAACCTAAGTAAATTCCCATTAACCTCATCAGAATTTATATTAGTCTGTCTATAATTACATGACCTGTCATTTCTGTTAACAAAAAAATTAATTAACCCTACCTATTCTATATCTCTCAAACATTCATTAGCCACCACCTTTATCCAATATTCCTCTAGTCTTCTATCATATTACTCCTTATCTTTACCTCAGTTATTATATGTTTAACTCTAAATTATTTTTTGCTAATTAAAAAATTTCCTTCAGATTAACATTGCTTGAGTTGAGCTATTATTATATTATCGAGTAAGAAAAACAAATTATAATTTATAAACCACTAGGAAAAAATATTTTTTTGCAAAATATAAAAATCGTGATTAAAAATAATAAAAAGTATCATATGACAATATATAAGGTGATGATTAGTAAAGGAGAAAAACATAAAGACCTGCGAGAAAGAAATTCAAAAGGGATTCATTCATTCATATTTTATGAGATTATTATTGTTGTTATTTCTAATAATATATAATTCGCATGCAACTTAATTAGTTTGGGAATAAAATAGAAAGTAAATTGTTTTTTATACCCCTTTACGATTACTTTTCAAGACTTTGCATACACTACCAATTTTTGTGAATGTGCATGCAAAAATTTTAGCTAATCCACAAAACTTATTGATAAATATCTTACCTCGAATTCGCACTAACGGTGAATCAAGGGGATATGAAATTCATAGGGATTCAAAATCCTTAATAAATTGATTTCAGTAAGAAAATATAGACATCAATTTTTTTATTTTGAAATAAAGAAGGAGATAAAAAAATGATCAAACATTTTTTATACAAAATATTTTAAAATAATATATTAGATTAACCACTTGACAATGATGGAAATCAATACTGTTCGTGGGATATTGTCATCTGGCTTGGACATTTTGAATGACTTGACTAAGCATAAACGTAATGCACATAACAGCAGTTCACTGCTCCAATCTTCCTACGACCAATATATATTCATCTTCTCTATTATCGGACGACATATGAAATTTTTATTTACCAATTTTTTATATTTATAATAAATTATAGTAAATTATCTATTTTTTGATAATAATATAGATATTTGTTTTATCTTAAAATTATTATCCCTATTACTATCAACAGTTAATACCTATCACAGGCGTTATTCTTCAAGATCAACACTATGAATCTAAAATAACTTAAAATATCAAAAGGGATAGACGGATTGATTGAGAGAGTGATTCAAAATTGCTCCAACCCTTTTTTTTAAAAAACGGCTAACTAAGTATTTTATCCAGAAAAATATTAAGCAAGCCTTAGGATTCTGTTCCTAGAGCACAAAGGTTTGGACATCTTTTAGCGAAATCTCAAGGCTCTTTAACAATATTTTTCTTACTAAAATATTGAGTAGCCATGCTTTGCATCACTAGATAGATAGAATAGAAATCTTGTATCATATTTAATCGCTCACCATATAAAATGAAATTATAAGAATTAAAAAAAATCCAACGCTCAGGAAAAAAATAATTACACGTATTTTATTATTTTCTTAAATAATCAAAAAAAACAATTTATAAGACAAAATATTCTTACTGATTAGAATTTTATATAAGCAGTTAAATAGAAAAATGGGTTCATTGACGAAGAACATGATAAAAAATTATCAAAATATTATTTTTTTTTTTAAGTAGATTGATATATTGTAAACAATTTCCAAATTTCAGCATGATTAAATATTATATAATTTTTTAATATATATTCTAATCATCATGGGAGATGAGGCTGCCAATGAAGCTGATGTAATTGGCCCTGTGAATTGCTATGGCGAGTCTTTGTCTTAAGAAGAAGCCTTCACGAGGTTCATCTGTTAGTTTGCGGATTAGCGATCCAAGTTCCTTGAAGAAAGAAAGAGCACGATTCCCAAAGGTAGTCAAGGTAGTGGAAATGATGGGAATGAATAAGTGATCTTGGGATATCTCTGAATATTTTGCAATTTTTAGAAGCTCCTTGTTCTCCAGAATGTTAAGGGATTGATTGGAAGGAGCCAATGGATCAATACAAGAGTAATCCCAGACCAAGAATTGACCTCGCTTCCAGGGAATTTAAGAGATCCCGTCAGGGCGTTTCCCATCAGATCTGAAAAGGCCAGAGGGTTCGAGAATAGAAGGAATTTGAGCGGAATCTTAACAATCTATCTGTTTTAAAATTTCAAATTCCTAGAAATTTTAAAGATTTTGTTAAAATTAGTCTATTTTTTGTTGTCATACAATCCTAACTCGAAAAAAATTAAGTGGCTTGAAGCATGAGTTTATTATTTTTTTAAGATCAACCGTCCTTTAAGTTTACACCTCTATCGAGGCTATGAGCTAGGATGATCGTTTTCACTTAAAAATTTTATATAGAGAGTCGGCTCAAAACTTGATATAAAAATGAAGCCATGTGAACCTCACATTAAACTTTAAATAATGCTAAAATTTCTATTTGGGGTTATAATTTTCTTAATAGAAAATTTGATGCTTAAAATATTAATATTCATAATTATCTATTTTATAAAATATATCAACGGATCGAGAGTCTTATCGTTCTCTGGAGTCGGGATCACTTAAATAAAAATATTTGTCATCACTGTCGTTCATCGTTCCATTTTTTCTTTTCCAACCTGTACCGTTTGTATTTACCTTTGATTAAGTTTTAACATTTACTAAAATTGTTAAAATGGGAAACGAACATTTTTTATTTTAGTTGATAATACTTTTTGCTTCCCAATCTTCTCTGCCATAAAGGCGCTAATTTAACATTTGCAAAAAAAAGCGCCCTCTAACTAAAAAATCTCAATTTTGACATAAAAAATTTAATTTTTATAACAATAATAAAAAACAGTGATTCAAATTTAACAGTATTAAAACTATTTCCCTGATTGTAATGCATTTTGGCTAGTAATTAACAGTCTATTTTGTTTCTTGAAATATGTATTCAATGGGATAAGCTTTTTATATAGTCTATCAGGTTTTAAAAATAGCCATTATATATGATTAAAAGTTATTAAAATTATATTGAAGCATAATAAAATAAATGCCTAATAATTTTTCAACGCTATTATATTAAAAATGATGAGAATAAGATTAAAAAGTATAATATTTATTTCGCAAGTTGGCGTATTTTATTACTTTTTTTAATAAAAATTCTCTTATTGATATTATTGTCTAAAAAAATCATTTAAATATCAAAAAATTATATTATTTTAAAAATTGAAGTCAATTGCCCTTTAAATTGCTAGTTTTTTTTCATAATTTGATCAAATATCCTATTATTACATGAATCATTTGTTATAATTTTTTTATTTTAGATTGAATAAATCACAAAAAAATTTTGGTTTAATTGGCAAAATCTAAAATTTTAATAGACAAATTGATAATAACTAACTATTATTTTATTAAATTTTGAATCTAAAATAGTAAATCTTATTTCGCAAAGGGGCTTACTCGATATTAATTTGTTTTTTTTGGTTGAAAATATAAATGCTGCCACCTTATTTGATTTCTTCAAATCATATTTGGAAATGCTACACTGAGATAAATTAAAAACTGATACTGAGGTAACTAACACACTGAGATAAATTTGTAAATTTCAATATACTCAAAATAAAATAACACGGTCAGCATACAACATTTTATTAATGAAATCTGCGAAATATATTATAATTTCAAATTCAAAGAAAAATATAATTTTCGAAATCTTTTTTATTAATGAAAAAAAAATATATATATAAAAACGAAAAACTAAATTAAAAATCAAAAAATATTAATGATTATTTTTCTACAAAACAAAAAAAAAATAATATTAAAAAAAAGAAGTTATTTTAAAATTAATTATCATTATTTACAACAATATGCATGAGCAGAAATGAGCTTGAAGATGAACAACGTTTTATGCTCATACTGATTTTAATATTTAAAATATGTTATCATTTTGAGAATTGGTTATTGCTATTTTATTATATAAATTAAGTATAATATTCAAAATATTATAAACAATATTATAGTCAATGCTTGTTCTTGGCACAGATTTAGTTTAAAATATTCCATTTTCCAAGAGAATAAAGATTTTTAAATTTGGCGGTTAGTCTTATGTTCATTTATGATATATATATACTGCCTTTTTATAAAATACTAATCATAGGAAATATCAAAATATTGGCAAGATTTGCCTTGTCGTTTACTTATTAAGTTCTCTTAATTAATTTGACCGTCTTCGACTTAATAATCCGATTAATTATTTAATTCTATCCCAAAACAGCGTCGGGGGGGGGGGGGGGTAAGAGCATTTTGCTTCTAACATTTTTGAACTTTTATATAGACTTATTATAATATACTTATATTGCTAAACATGATAATTTTATATTATGACATTGTAACATTTTAAAATATGGCAGAAAATTATTCAAAAATAAGTTTTATTTGAAAAATAAAGACTATAGTTGTATGCATTCTATCAGCAAACTCATATTCATGCCAAGCAATGCACTATAATAATGCATTCATAGTATATTAGGAAAATTAATTTGATTAATGATATATTATTGTAATGAAATTATATTTTTTAACTATAGTTTTATTAGTTTTTTTTAATAGATAACGATTAATTTTTTTAGCATTGCGTTGTGAAAAAAAAAATTATTGTAGATTTTATTTTTTATTTTTCGCGATGGTTATAAAAAGTAGAAAAAAAAAGCAAAATTAAATCATTATTCATTATTTTTATTATTGTTTTTAATTCCTTTAGCTTATTTTCAAGAGTGTGTTAAAAAGTAGAATAAGATAAAAGAAAAAAAATCAAGGTAAGAAAAATTTAATTATATTTAATTTTAAAAAAAAAGGGTATTGTAAAAGAAATAAAAAGTGTTAAGCTTGAAAGTGCAGTCAGTTTAAATTAATATTCTAAAATTATTCTCTTACATACACAATTTTTTGATATTTATAGTAGAGTATTAATAATTTAAGTTAATTAAGAATATATGAAGAGATTACTATTATAATAACGTAATAACCTGTGGCAAAATTTTAGGGGGCATGTATAGGTTTTTAAGGAGTATGTTCCAGTGAATATATGGTCATATAGATTTCTCCTAAAAAAATTAAGATCTCAATCAGGCTCTTAACCACGCAAAATAAAATTTCATACTTTAGCCTTTCATTAACATTTTTTTTATCCCCAAAAACATTTCCAGGCCTCCAAATTTAAAAAAGATGTTAGTTATTGAATTTTTATTTGCTTTTAACAATTAAATCTAAATGAAAAAAAATTCTTAGAAAAATTTTAGTTATTAAAATTTTAAGCCAAATTATTAGGATAAAAAAAAAATACTTATAAAAATCGTTAACAAAAAAAACAATATCTGCTTTTCTTTTATTCCACGGAAAAAGACACTAGTATTGATGTTTGTCAGTTCCCGTGATGGTTCTTCTCAACCTCTTGAAAGTGGCAAGTCAATCAAAGTTAGCAAGATTTAAATAATTAAGATAAATTATAGATATTGCAAATTACTGTTTTCATGCGATGATACCTAAAAATTAATTAGACGAATATATATCATCCATTAATATAATATTTTTCAAAAAACAGGACGAATACTTTTTCAAAATCTATTACTAGTTGAAGTCTAAGATATTAAAAATGATAAACTACTTCCTGTCTATCACGTAATCATACTTAGATGTATTTTTTCATCCATTTAAGACACTGATTATATATATGTTATTGAAACCTACTAATATTCTAGAATCGATACCGACGGGTATTAAAAACAATGTTATTTACTATAAGTAATAAAGACAATATGACTTTGAAACAAAAAGATTATAATCTGTGTGGAGCGACTACTGTGGGGCATGGACTGGTACGTCCACAGTTACTACAAAAAATTGCTATAATATAAATATTAATGATAATACAAATAATAGTATACCTAATCTTATTAAATTGGCTATTTAACAAGTTCACAGCACAGAAATATGATCATATATTTATTGCAGAAAACAGCAATCAAATCTTGAGTATTTGGTAATATTAAATCTTTAAGGATATGCTATTTAGATAAATATGTAAATAGCTTAGTTCATCTCAGTAACGTAGCCAGGATTTTATCATAGGGGTGAGGGGGGGGGGGGGGGGGGGGGTTAAAAAAATTTTTTTTTTGGGGGGGGGGGAGATTTGCCCTATAAACCTCTTATATTTTTTGAACACTTAATTGCTTATATTTTTGGATTTGTTAAAATTGTTTTATATTTTCATATAACAAAATTTTAGGGTATTTATTATATATTTTACATTCCTTTATTTAATCATGTATATTTCGTAGGGATCATGACTATCCGGGATCTTCACGGGATTTAAAGGGATCCCTTTAAAATTTCAATTTTTTAAAGGATAAAGAACTATACGGTATTATCACATTTTAATCGTGATAAAGAGGAATCTTTTTTAAAAGCGTTTTCCACGAGTTTCGTTGCGTTTTTAATTTTCAATGTTGTTTTTTTGGCCTTATGATATAAGATATGTCTAGTATAGGGTATCAATCGATAGCTAATCAAAAGATCTATTCAACTGGAAGTCAATCTCTGCCCATAATGGGCGGTCTGGAGGTGGTAGGGGTTGGGGGGGGGGGGGGGGGGGGGGGGGGGGGGGGGTAATAAATATTTTTTTTGATATGGATATCAATCGATAGCTAATCAAAAGATCTATTCAACTGGAGGTCAATCTCTGCCCCATAATGGGCGGTCTAGGGGGTTAGGGGTAGAAGGGGGTGTAAAAAATAATTTTTTATAATGGGTATCAATCGATAGCTAATCAAAGAATCTATTTAACTGAAGGTCAATCTCTGCCCCATAATCCCCGGTCTAGGGGTGGCGGGGGTGGTAAAAAATAATTTTTTTTGATATGGGTATCAATCGATAGCTAATCAAAAGATCTATTCAACTGCAGGTCAATCTCTGTCCCATAATGGATGGTCGGGGGTAAATTTTTAATAATATTATTAAATGTCATTTCCATTTTATTTAATATAAAAATTATATATGGGAGGATATCTGTTATTTTTTAAGGAAATGATTAATGATAAAAATACTAACAAACATATTCTTTCAATTTTGGAATATTTTCTAAAAATATATTTCCAAGAAAAAATTTTTTTATCATCAAAAAAAAGGAAAAGATAAAAAAATTATAAAAAGGGGGGGGGGGGGGGAGTGAAGATTTAGAATATTTTTTTTACTTAATTTCAAATTTCTTTTTTATATATTAATAAATTCAAAATATTATCATTTTTAATAATCCCCCAATTAGTTATGCCTGAAAATCAAACCCAATATCAAATTTATAAAAAAATTCTAATGACTAACAACTATACAATCATTCCTGGAATAGATGCCAAACTAAAATCTCAAATTAAAGGACTTTTTTATTTAAAAAATAATATTATAATGTGCTCGAAAAAAAACAAGCCAATTATTATATTATCCGAATTGGATGAAATATTTAAGAAACATCACAATGATAAAAATCATACAGGTAAATGTTTATTGAATTACTATTTTTCTTAACTAGTGCGCGTGCTTCTAACGATTCAAATTATAATATATACTTTTATTTGTATTCCAATAACTTCATTTAAATAAATATTCACTAGTATTATTCTCATAGTTAAAAAATCGAATATTATTCTATTTTCATATACTATTTTGTAGTTTATTTGATATTAGCCAAACCCGACCCAACCTGTCAATTTGTGATTATTTTTTATTTCGGGTTGTCTGAAATTTATTTTTCCATGTGGGTTTTTTTGTACAATTTTAAATTTAATAAATGATATCAATTAGGGATCTGCATAGGGATTAATTTTTTAAGCAGGACCCGGCCCGAAATTTATTTTAAAAAATTTGTTCCACCCTGCCCGATCTTTAATTTTTTCTTATATTTTTCCCAAAAATTGTGACCCTATATAAAAATTATTTGTCCGCCTGGCTCGGTCCGAATTTATTTAAATATAGAAAACATTAATAATTTTTTAAATGTAAAAAAAAATCCACAAATAAAAAATATTGCGTCTTATTTCTTGCAAGAATTTTAAAATATATCATTTATTTCATAAAATTGAATGATAACAGTCCGACCCAGCCAGAATTTTTTTTAAAAATATTAGGCCTTACCCAGCCCGAACCTAAATTGTTTTGTAAAAATAACACCAGGCAGGGCTGGAGGCGTACCAGGATTTTGCAAATGTCATTAAATCATGGTTTCATTGTATATTATTTTATAATTTGAATGTTAGATAATTTTACAATTTTCATTTAAGATTATTTTACAATTTTTTTTAAAGATTATAAGAATAATTTTTCAATTAGATATTTTTTAATAATATACAAAAAAAAAAATATTTTAGGGTAAATCTATTTTGTCAATTATGTTCGGATTAGGAATTTAAGGGAAAAACTGGTTGCGTCGGATCTTGGAAAATATTTTACTTTCTGCGCATGGTTATAATTTAATCGAAAAGGAAGAGAAACTTTATTAATATCTAAATGTCCTGGTTCGACTTATTGGTAAACAGCCGACTGTTTGGATAGCTATAATAGCTTCGTCTAAACAGCTTCAAAAGTAAGATATAAACAAAAAAACGAAAGAAACAAATCGAAAAACACAAAAAAAATATGAAAAATAACAATGCCATGAAATACTAAACATACCAAAATAGAGTTTCCTAGTTCAAAAGCTATCTAGCCTAGGCTAAACAGAAATAAGTATCAAAATGAGTCGAACTTAGACACACCCTTAGGTTTTTAAATTTTATTTATTTATAGTATTAAAAATTAAAAAAGAAATGGGTATTACATTTGTTATTTCTCTTCAAGTTTTATACTAAAATATAAGGAAATTCAGCTTATGTTTTTTAGTTTTATTCGGTTTTTATTTTTTCTATATAAATAAACTTATATAAACCGAAACGAAACAAAAAATAATATCAATTTCCCCAAACCAGAATGAAGATACATGATTTATTTCAAAAATGGTTCGGGAAATTAACGGGCCCCTATCACTCTTATGCTGAATTATAAAAATATAGTGTAAAAATCATTTTAAAAAAATAAAATAAAAGGGTATACCTCGTATTGTAGGAATAAAATAAGATCTTATAGGAATGTGTTGACAGAATTTGCGGATGAATTGAAATATAATTTTTAAAAAAATAATAATAAAAAGTGACAAATTTTAAATCAACAAAAAATCTATAATTAAAAAAAGAAATGAAGATTTTTTTTATTTCGAGGGAACTAGTTTAATTTTTGAAGAAATATTACTAATAAAATGATATATGTAAATTAGTTTTATCAATATAATAGATTATCATCATTACCAAAATGAAATGTAAAAACAAACTCAACTTACCGTTTTAAAATTTTGGCCTAATAACTTGAATTCAACTGAACCATGTTATAAATTGGTTCAACATGTGTTCTTATTGACATGTAAAATAGAAAATATTAGCTTAAACTTTAATTTTTTAAAAATATTATTATGATAGTGCGTGTAGCGCTAATAATATTAGCTGAATGCAATTTATTTTTATACTTAATGTTTATTTCTTTAAAATGTATGTGTATTGTTATTTTTATGACAATAATATATTCTCGTTTGAAAATAAATACTATATTTATTCTAGTAGTATTTCAAAATTTATAGAATATTAACTGTAATATTATTTATTCAAATTTGTTTAAATTAATATTAATATGAACGAATCGAATATACAAGTACTAAGTATAATTGATAAATATTATGCGAATAAAAAACACGGTTCGTAAAATTGCACTAGTAATCTTTTTATTTTCCCAAAAATTTAGGAGTGAACACAACTATCAAATCGATTGAAACAATATATGCAACTGTTCCAGTGAATAAGCTCAAAGATTATATAAAAAATTGTGAGGTATGCTCATTAAAGACGACGTTGCTGAAGGCCCCAACTGGTAAAGCTATAAAGTCAACGGCAGTATGGGGTCAAGTTGTAATGGATCTTATTGATTTTAGTAGCACTCCTGATGGAGAATTTAAATTAATTCACTTTAAAGACCATTTTTCTAAATTTACATATGCAACGCCTCTTATATCAAAACAAGGGGAATAAACAGTAAGGGTTATACGAAATTTGTTTTTTACTTTCGGTCCTCCAAAAATTTTACAAAGTGACAATGGACGAGAATTTAAAAGTAAATTAAATTATTGATTTGTCTAAAAAGATATTTGTAGATAAAATGGTTGAATCTATGTTAAAGGATGATTTTCCAGGGGTAATATTCGCACATTCGCGACCACACCACCCAGAAACCAATGGTTTAATTGAGCGAGCAAATAGAACTTTAGAGTCGCGAATAAGCGGTTACATTTTGGAAACGAAAAAATATGATTGGGCGACTGCGCTCCCTAAAATTGTATTTAATATCAATCTAGGATTTCCTAGAACAATTAAAAATACCACATTTAATGTATTTTTCGCTAGAACACCTTATTCGGTTGATAGCGAACAGGAAGTGATACCAGAAATAGTTAATGTGGATTCTGATCATGAAGAAATGAGTAAAAATCTATAATATTTAAGAGGGCTCAATATAAAAAATAATATATCGAAATTTATAAAAAAATAATTAAAATTCTTAAGGGCTATATAATTTTTAAAAATTTAAATCTCCACATCGCCACCAGCCTCCAAATAAAAAATAATTATTTTATATTTAAAAATATTTACCCCCTAATTCTACTTCCGAGGTTAACATCAAGAGAAAACTCATTAGAATATCCTGATGAAATCAGTAATAATAATATATGTTAGATTTAAATATATTATTGTAACTCTTAAATTTTTTAAAGGTTTAATTCAAAATTTATAAAAAAATTAATAATTTTCAGAAAATTTAAACTTCTGCATCGCCACTAGCCTCCAAATAAAAAATCATTATATTTAAATATATTTACCCCCTAATTCAATAAAGGTTTGGTTCATACTCTTCCGAGGTTATCATCAAGCGAAAACTCATTGATAGAATCTGATCCTGATGAAATCAGTAATAATAAAATATGTCAGAATTAATATATAATAGTAACTCCTAAAAATTTTTAAAGGTTTTATTCAAAGTGTTACACCAAGCTCACCGTTAAATGATAACTTATTGATCGATTCTAATCCCGATAAAATGAGTAAAAAATGAATGATAATAAATATTGTAAACTTAAAATTAAAAGGTTTAATTTAAAATTCTATTTGAAGTTCATCGTATAATGTCAATGGTTTGATAAATTATTCTTTTATCTGATGAATATAAATTTAATGAATATTTTACTAACTCTAGCCTACTAATTTAACTCTTCATTTTTATATTTTATTTTAAACCAGATATCCCCAGTGTTTCAAATTCAACATATACAAATACTTTATTTCTTCTTTATAACCAGAATAGTAGTAATACTCCTGAAGGTATAGTTATTGCACAAATAAAAAAGAAAAATTCATACGAATCATATTATAATATTCAATATATTCTTTCGGACAAAACGAAATATAAAATAGGAAACACAATTGCATGGCAAGATAAAAATACAACTAATTCAATTGGGAATACTATAGAAAATATTTTAGCAAGATTGCCTTCCTTTATTGCATATTTATTGGATAGGAATAAGCAACACAATGCTTACAAAAATAAAATTAAAAAAATAAAATTATCCATTGGGGATCACGTACTGATCCCAATAAATAAAAATGATAGATCTAATATATGCCCCAAAAATATTGAGGCCAAAATTATCCAAATGGAGGGCGATAAACTATGGGTTGGGGGAAAAATTGATTCACCATTTTTAAAAACGAGTGTTCATAAATCAATAAAATTTCCCAATTTAACCATTCCTGATAAGACTATTTCCATAATAACAGCATCAAGAAGTGAATCTTCTTATGGTAATTGTAAAGCAATTTGCAATTGCCAAAAAAGTTGCAACAATAAGAGATGCCAATGTTTTAAAAATGGGATTAATTGTTCCACAAAATGTCATTTAAATATTACTTGTAATAATAAATAACTGTTCAAAATTATATTTAAATTTCAATTATCAAAATAAAATAAAATATGTGTTGATTATATGGTTTGAAGAAAAATATAATAATAAGGATGATTTGCTTCTAAAGATGTGTAATAATTTATAACTGTAGAAAGAAAAATTTAATATGTCATTTTAAAATTGGTGAATCGATGGTTTCAAATATAGCCAGAAATTTTGAGAGTTAAATATATAACATATTAGAATAAGCTGCGAGCAAATAATTTTATTAGGTTACAATAAGTTTTTAAAAAGCATTGACATTATATGAGCTCTGCTTATAGTGATATTTAATATTGAAGTCTAAATATGTTGTATTTAATTTTATCTCCATCCACCCACCAGACCAAGTTATACCCATCAAGACCAAAAATGAATGCATTAAAAGAAATTTAAATTAGCTTTTATTTGATACCTATATCGATAATTTATGTTGATAAAAATATACCTGACCCCCCAAAACCTAGATCCGCCCGCTTAAAGTGATTATTATTATTACAATAAAAATATATATTAATTACCTCTTATTTGATACCATATCAAAAAACTTATTTTTTTACCCCTCCCCTTCTCTCTTCATCCACCCCCCAGACCAAGTCATACTCATCAAGACCAAGAATGAATGCTTGGAGTTAAAAGATATTTAAATTAGCTTTTATTTGATACCCATATCAAAAAAAAATATTTTTACACCCCCCTCCCCACCCCCTAGACCGCCTATTATGGGGCAGACATTGACTTTCAGTTGAATAGATCTTTTGATTAGCCATCGATTGATACCCATATCAAAAAAAAATATTATTTACCACCCCCCACCCCACCCCCTAGACCTCCTATTATGGGACAGAAATTGACCTCCAGTTGAATAGATCTTTTGCTTAGCTATCGATTGATACCCATATCAAAAAAATTATTTTTTACACCTCGCCCCCTACCCCTACCCCCTAGACCGCCCATTATGGGGCAGAGATTGACCTCCAGTTGAATAGATCTTTTAATTAGCTATCGATTGATACCCATATTTAAAAAAATATTTTTTACACCCCCCCCTTACCCCTACCCCTTTAGACCACCCATTATGGGGCAGAGATTGACCTCCAGTTGAATAGATCTTTTAATTAGCTATCGATTGATACCCATATCAAAAAAAAATTTTTACACCCCCCTACCCCTATCACCCTAGACCGCCATTATGGGGCAGAGATTGACCTCCAGTTGAATAGATCTTTTGATTAGCTATCGATTGATACCCATATCAAAAAAATTATTTTTTACACCCCCCACTCTTACCCCCTTAGACCGCTCATTATGGGGCAGAGATTGACCTCCAGTTGAATAGATCTTTTGATTAGCTATCGATTGATACCCATATCAAAAAAAATTATTTTTTACACGCCCCTACCCCTACCCCCTAGACCGCCCATTATGGGGCAGAGACTGACCTCCAGTTGAATAAATCTTTTAATTAGCTATCGATTGATAACCATATTTTAAAAAATATTTTTTACACCCCAACCCTTACCCCTACCCCTTTAGACCACCCATTATGGGGCAGAGATTGACCTCCAGTTAAATAGATTCTTTGATTAGCTATCGATTGATACCCATTATAAAAAAATATTTTTTACACCCCCCCCCCCTACCCCCTAGACCGCCCATTATGGGGCAGAGATTGACCTTCAGTTGAATAGATCTTTTGATTAGCTATCGCTTGATACCCTATACTAGACATATCTTATATCATAAAGCCAAAAAAACATTGAAAATTAAAAAACGCAACGAAACTCGTGGAAAACGCTTTTAAAATAAGATTCCTATCTAATTAAAACGTGATAATCCCGTATTATCATTCCTTAATTTAAAACCCTATTTTTTTAGTTATCCTTTTAAGGCTGCATTCATAGTGGAGACGGATCCTCCGTTCCGTCAAAAGTCAATCTCATTAAAAATGATATATATGTTCATAGTGCGTCCGTTCCGATACCTTCCGTCTTAAAAATGGATCCGGCAAATTTTGAAGTCAAAACATTTTGACTTTTTGATCCGGCAAATCTTATAGAGCGTTATAACGTTACTTACAATTTTTTTATAGTCATGAACATTTATATCATTTTTAATGAGTTTGACTTTTGACGGAACGGATGTAAAAACGGATCAGTCTCCATTATGAATGCAGCCTAAATCCCGTGAAAATCCCGGATAGTCATGATCCCTTTAAAAATTACGACATATATATTTTTATTAATTAAAATATTTTCAAAATGTTGATATTTTATATAATACAGATTTTAATGACTCTATTTAAAAAAAAGTAATTTTTTACAATTATATAAAATATGTGTAATTCTTATGCAAATAATGGTATTTAAAATAATATGATGATATTATCTTATAAATAATACTTTTTTTACAAAAAAAAATTGATTATATATTAAAACTAAAATTTTATTGCTATTTTTTGATTTGAATTTAAAAAGAGAGATCTACTTTTCACTGAGATTTTGCTAATTCATCTAGAATCAAATTTTTATTTAAAATAATCTCCTTATAAATATTCAATAGGGCTAATCCATTTAAACGTTTTTCACCGGTTGTGTTTCTTAAATAGGTTTTTAACCTTTTTAAAGTTAAAAAAGACCTTTCATTAGTGCAGGTACTAATTGGCAAGGTAGCTAAAATAATTAATAATGTTTTGATATAAGGCACGGAATCTAAAATGTAATTACACTGGAAAGGGCCTGCAGATACTAAAATTCGACATCACAAAGTAACTTATCATATGAACCTACTAAATTATCAGCATAAAACTCTGAGATTTTTTCAATATCTTCAAGTGTAATCAATAGTTTAGACTCTAGCAAAAGATAATAAAAGCTTATTAAAATATAATTATGACTAATAAATCTTTCTTTTAATATAAAAATGTTTATTTTATAAAAATCCTCAATCGTAGATGCATCAATATTTGATCGATTGGATTGTCTAGAGACTACTGTAGGTTTAAAAATTTCAATTCCAAACATATTAACAATC